CCCCCCCCGCGCGCAGCGCGGGTGCGGAGCTTCCCGCCGCTTGTCTCTGAAGGTTATCGGCAGGCGGCAGAGCCCTCTGCACCGACGGGAATCCCGCTGCTGCCATACCGTCAGGGCTCCGGTCGTACCTGCGGAAAAAAGAGAAGAGGAATTTTAGGCTCGAACACAAGACTACTGCAGTCCGAGGGGGCGTTGCATCCTAGCGGCGTTTCTCCCGTTTGAACCACAACACCACCCATCCCGGCGGCCGCCCGAACTCGCTACCGGGGTCAGAAACCGGTGCGGATGCGCTCGCGGCGCGCGTTGGGCAGCGCTCTCCCCACCTCGCCTCACCGGACCTTTTCCGTGCTTGTGCGAAAGCACGACGCCACTCTTCCCGCCTTAGGGATTTCAGGCACCGGGAACACAGGGCACTTGGAACGCAAGCATCTACTCCGTCGGGAAGACGGACCGAACTGCGCTTGGAAAGCGAGCCAGGAACGCAGCGAACCACGCAAACGCCCTTTTCTACTTGGAACTACGCGCGCGTACCTACGGCGCGCGCTGACGGGCCCCGTACCTGCTGCAGTTGGACGCCGGATGCGGCGCGCCAGACGGGCTGGCGCCGGCAGCTCCGTGCGGGGAACAGGACGGGTTGCCGTCTTGAGATGCGTGGCTGCTCCCTGGAGAGAAACAAACATTTCCTGAGACCGACAAACGGGAGTTAGAGGAACCGGGGTATGAAGCGAACCTGCCAGGCGCTAACAGCTTCCCCAAGCTTAATGAGCTCTCGAGTCTCGTCGGTGACCTGCAAAAGCACGCAGTCCGGTCTCCAACACGAGACACTGCAACTGTCTTAATACCCACCAGGAAAGATGCAGTCAGGCGGCCACGTTCTGGCCCAGGCGCCTCACTTAACTGACGTTAGGCGCGACCTTTACTGCTCGCCTGATAATTTGGAACAGCTTTCAAGGGTAGAGAACGAATAATCAAAAAAAAACCAAAACAAAACAACCCAGCCAGAAGGCTGCGCTCCGGGATGACGCTTGGCCATAACTGACAGAGCGGACCCCTGCTGAAGTCCAGGGAGAGAAGCAGACGCCCGCCTGACACCACCGCCCTGCGAAATCATCGGCTGTTGGGCGAGAGAGCGTTTGGTGAGAAGCGCCTGCAATTTAAGCCGTTAAATATCAATCCGTCCGGCTTCGGGAGGGGGAAGCTGGCGGGAGTTTTGCTTTCTCTCCAGTAACCGGGTTATTTAACGTTTCTGTTTGCAGGTACCTGATCGGAACTGGATTTTGATGGGCCTCCCGTAGAGTTTGATCCCGTTAAGCAGGCTCAGTCCGTAAGGAACGGATTCTTCGTGTTTGAAGTTCACAAAGGCGAACTGCTTGGGCCTACCGTCTCTGTCCTTGGGGATTTTAACCTTAATTACCGGACCTGCCTGCGAACCGGGAAACAAAAGGCGTTAAATAAAAACGGAGCGGCCCTCCACAAAGTTTTACATCTGCCAAAAGCAGTTTAAAAAAAAAAAAGCGGGGGGGGAATAAACCTAAACCGGCCAGCTCCTAAGGAGGCAGAGAGCGCTCGCGGACGGGCGCCCCGCGGAA